CATGCAGGTTAGAGGAATACTGATACACTACCACTTATGTTGGCAAAACTTACATTGCATAGGGGCATGAAAAAAACACCCCTCTGAGCAAAAGGAAGTTACTCACCTTGTGAAGTAAGGATGGTTCTTCGAGATGTTCACTGCCCTTTACTTTGCTGGTGCCAGTACACGATTTTTACCAAAGACGGTGTTATATTGCATCCTCACCCATCCTTCTTACCCAAGGTGTGCTCAGATTTCCATGTCAATGAGCCAATCAGATGACCTATGTCCTGCCCAAAACCACACTCATCTGCACATGAAGCACTTCTTCATACCCTAGATGTCAGGAGAGCCCTATCCTTTTACATCGACCACACAAAACCCTTCTGGAATAGACAGTGTCTCTTTGTTGCAACTGTGGGTGTTGCACCATCATCACAACATCACTACATGCATCTGACGAAGTGGGTCTTTGCCCACGAAAGCTTATGCTCCTACACTTCAGTTAGTCTATAAGGTGCCACAGGACTCCTCGTCGCTATCACAACATTTGTCTACCATCATAACTTCATGTATCATGCAGTGCTATGCGTGACATCTCCTCTTCTTCAGGGAATCTCTCTCTGTTTTTCCTTCTTTAGATACTTCAGCATTCATGAGGAACTGAGGTAAGATTGGGCCATGCATGAAGCAAAGGCATGAACAGCACGAGACACTTAGAGCACATGTACAGCCCAATCGGCTACTGCTACGAAAAACTCATACATCTACAGTGGAGCACCGACAGGGACATCACTCAAAGAAGAACATAAGTTTTGCTGGGACAAGCATTTATGTGCACAGAACAAGGTCAGCAGAAGAGCTTCTCTCATCACTGCTCATTGAAGTGGTTTTATTATGTTGACAGGAGAGCTCTCTCATGTTGGCAGAAAGAGAATATACAAGCGATCTTAAAGTGTCACAGCTACCTCAATACTGCTCTTTAAGTACACCAGTGTAAACATGGCCCTAGTAGACCATCATCAGCTACTTAAGCACTAAAAAGAATTATTTTGTTTCCTTTATCTCTCACAAATATGCCATAAATATGATGAATGTTTCTGATGACATAGAACTTAGAGAGAATAAAACCTTATTG